ATTCGTATCCTTACTTAGTACTCCAACTTCTAAATGCCTATCAAAGAAGATGGTTGAAGTCGGCGTTGGACTGGATATGTACCTTTTTGCAACATTGGTTCCGATGGTAAAGGGATTGCTCAAGTCCTAGCTATTTTTTAACTAACTTTATTCACCAGATTGTCAGCTTCAACATGTATTTCAACAAACACCAATTAAATAGGTTGAACCTGTTCACCAATCCCATTCCTTTTTCTTGGAAATAAATATTGTTTAAATCAAACCCCAATTCATCGCCAGAACAGGCTACACCCTCAGGATAAATCCCACGTTTAACAATCCCCGTGCATACATTAAATTTGAATCCTGGAATCCCCACAAGTTTCGAACAACTCTAAAGGTGAGAGTCACATTCACGAACTTCTTGTAAGCATTCATCCTAAACTGTGGGTGTTCCTTTTGCTGTTACTGTTTCCTCAATGATGTGTGTTTCCTCAATGATGTGTGTTTCCTCAATGGTGTGTGTTCTGTTGCCATCCATACAAGTTTGGATTTTGTCTCTGAAATCGAGAAGATTATAGTGGCGGTTGTTCCCAGAACACAACCCAAAAACTACTGGGGATATTGTTATGAAACGTAGTACACACATACCACAGTAACTGATGTGCCGTTTGCCAATATTAATTCCTAAATGTGTGCATTTTGGGTGTGAATGGTTGGTTGACGCTTTTGGCGCAGAAATTAAACACATGTACAAACATTCAGACAAACTGTAGTTGTGCTACAGTTGAGCCTTTTCCTATTTGTAATAGTTTTCGATTTGGTCTCTGTGTATACAATATGGGCCCTGAGTAGGCTACATATGTATCTTGGACTCGGCGATTCCTCTCGGTGGGCAGTGTGACAATGTGAAAACACCCAAATAATAACATAATATGATTTCTTCATGCAACTTTGTATTCACTTCAACTGAGCGTTAAACTGGTGCCTCTTGTTCATCAGAATTGTTTTTGTCTTACGTTCCACAAACACCATGAAAGACTTGCGTTCAAAATGAATGTAGGGGTTCGTTTCCAGAGCAAAATACAGCGGGACATGCTTCTGTGCGTGTAACATTCGCATGATGTTTTGAGGTGTTTAGCTCACCTGACTGGCTTGCTCGATTCGTCGTCTTACATCATCTTCGCAAAAAGCACTGGACCAATGAAGCTGAACCTTCACACACTGCTTCCAACCAATGATGACACCTGAACGTGTTCGAGAGGTTCAGGCCAGCTACGAACCTATGTATGGCCACTGCTCAGCCATTTATGATCAAAATATGACGTAACGATCTTAAATACCTTCAAAATGCATTTTTGGCTCTGTGAACATCTCGGAAATTGAGTGACTTTGGTATGCATGTTTCTTCTTATGATGACATCGTTTTTTGTTCAAATCATTGTGATTTGAAGTATTTTTTTAAAGAATTGAGAATAGCATTTCAAACAGTCATTCTCCTTTGAAGGAGTTGAAAATTTGTAAACTCATTCTTGCAGGTTTTGAGACATTGTGGATATTTCGGCCACAATACTTATGCAGAAAATATTTGAATAGCAAAGTTTTATCAGTGGCTGTTTTTGTTAACGTTCAAACTGTTGACTGTATCCATGTGAGCTACAGTGCCGCCTCTGTACCTACCACCCTATTGTACACGTTATGCCAACGTCTGTGGTGGCTGGGTGGCTGACAAACGTGATCTTATCAGTTTGCATGCCAATAACACTGGCTCATGAATGAATCATAACCACAGCACATTTGTCAGAATATAGTCTTTCCTCTCACATAGAAACGGTTTAATTCTGAAAGTAGACCCCACTTCGTTATGTCCTCATTTGCCATCCTGTACAAAACCTTTAGTGCTACCACTGTCCCTGACTCCTTCCTTATCCCTATTAACTGCAGGCATTATGTTCGCCTTGCCTAAATTCAGATTTTCTGCCGCAACGTTACCGGGCATTTCATTGTCAGTTGTTTTTGCATTCCCTTTATGGGTGCTTGTTCGGAATTTCACCGAATTTGTCTTTGGTGTTTGATACAAGGACTGCAACTCACGTCTTTGAATAAAACTGTAACCAAGTGAAATCTCGTAGCCACCAGTGGTGGACATGTATGTGTTTAAACTGACAGGAACATCCATCTCTCTCTCTCTCTCTCTCTCTCTCTCTCTCTCTCTCGATCGGATCGGATCATATAGCAGGAATTTGTTGAGAGCGGCATTAAACATATATATATATGTCCGTGCCAAATGACATGTTAAATATTTATATTTATTCCCCATCAATAAAGGAATACAGTTGCCCCTGGAAACCTGATGATGCCAATCGCCAATTAAAGTAATGTCTTTAGGCCACAAGGTCTTCTGTGCCCTGGGGGACCAACCGATTGCTTATTTTACTAATCAGGATATTTGTTATGTCAAGCCAACACTTGAGTTTTGTAATGCAAACGTATTTGTAATCCATAAATTTAACAGATATACAACAATGTTTGAAATAAATTGTTTGTTGAGAGATTCAACTGAAAATAGACCACGTTCAACACAAACAGAATCCATCACAATGATATCGAAGCCACCACTACATCCCCACATCACTCCAGGATCATACCCCACGCGGAGCCCCGGTCAGAATAGGTCCCCAGCAACCACATGGATCGTGTGGTCAGGCATCGTAAGCGATCAGGTGATCATTTAATGCATCACCGGCTGCAGGAAGAGATCAAGAACAGCTGTGTTATCAAGGAACACATAGACACTGTGATCACTTGCCAAGTATGATGCCCTTCTGACAATGACAAGGCCTGCGTCTCCCTCATCTCCAGCATGTTCAACACGAATTCATGCATTCACCAATAGTTTGCAATGTAGAAAAATGTGGGTTTGCTTATTGTAATTGTTTGATTGGAACCCTGGATGCATGTCCAGTCTTCACTAATGGTGGAAGCTACTGATGATCGTTGTTGTCTGTGTCGTGTCTGTTCTGGTTGTATACGTGTCAAAAGAAGCAGCAGGAGAGTAACCTTGTCCGCTTAGTTGAACAAGGCCAACACCATTATGTTCATCTCAAATCATGGATCGTTCCTGAGGTTGGCCCTGCATTTATGGCAGCACAGCACTGGGTGAATCTGTGCTGACAATGCTTGGAGGGATTTTCATGATGTGCTTTGCTAACCGTGACTTCTGGTACTTGCCCATCGTTCCATCATTATGGGAAAGGATTGGTGAAAACTGCTGCCAACTCGTGTGAAAATACAATTGGCTTACGATACGCATGCCGGGAATAGTTCTAAGGATTTCTTCATTAGTGTTGAGCGTAATGTTCAGCATCCCGCATTACAGCTATTAAAACAGTCTCCAAAAGTTTATTTGATAATTTTGTGCACTGTTTCCCCTCTAGGCTTAATATGTTTTTGGCTTGGTTTGTTGTTAAACGCCGCACTCAGCAATATTCCAACTTTATGACGGCGGTCTGTAAATAATCGAGTCTGGACCAGACGAACCAGTGATTTACATCATGAGCATCGATCCACGCAATTGGGATACGATGACATGCATCAACCAAGTCAGCGAGCCTTGACCACCCGATCCAGCTAGTCGCCCGAACAAAAGCGTACTATGTAGAGCTGTACCGGTTAATTTTGCACGGTTAAGTCTGTAGCTCTAATTTATCTCCATTCTACCATGACACAATTAACATGTGCAATATATGACATTATCTTGTTTTCTCTTCTTTCCATGAATAGGACAATACAGACATATTTAACTCATTTTGCACCTGATGTTTGTTCAATAAAAGCTAAATGCTATATGAGGAACAAAAATATTGGGGCCCTTGTGGGGAGTATATATTTGAGTAACAATTCTAAAACCATAAAATCACACATATTAATGAAAGACGATTAGAAACACAAAATAATAATACAAATTCAAATCTTCCACAACACTACATGATTTTAATATTCAAATTGTAAATGAAGGTATCCCCGGCACCATAAATAACATTGGATTTATTTCCGCTTGTTTGAGTAAATTAAGTGTCGCAGTAGCCGTTCATACCATGTCTATAAACGTACTGAAAAAAACACTAGGTGTCCATTAATGAAGTTCTAAAGTTAAAATGAATACAAATATCAGAGTCTGTGTGCATTGCTCTATCCATACTTATAAAACAGCAATTACAAATGTTATAGTTTTGAATAGTTTTGACATAGAGTTGCGTCTGTTAAATTTCAAAGTAGTTTCTGTGTCCAGTAACTGATTATGTATGTGATCTGTGTATGTTCAGGGTCCAATGTCTTGAACATGCTGACTCCGTGTCAGTGGGTCAGTGGGAGACAAGGTGAGATATCGACAACTACAGAAACAATGATGTCGTCATGGAAATATTCATCGCAGTGTTTACAATTCACATTGTTTACAAAAAGACTGCATGTTACGGGAAATGGCGAGTGATGACGACTGCGCAACGTTTTCTTTCATGACCAACTCGTGTCAGACAAGCTGAAAAGCTTCATGCTGGTTACGGAAATGGGCGAGTGGTGACGAATGCAACGTTTTGAAGTGACGTTCCGAAAGTGTCCGATTGACGCTGAATCAAGCTCCCCACAGCGATAGCCCGTTCGCGGAGCTCTCTATACAACGAAGGTGTCACGCGCTGGGAAGGAGCTTGACGCTGAACGTTCTAGGGGAGGCAACTCATCGAGTACGGCAGAAGAGATTGTTGAGGTAAGATTGTTCTTTTAATTCATACCAAGTATCATACATGTTTAATTTAATCAGAATATGTGGATGTATTTCTTATCCAAACTGTTCTGTTGAACGGAACTTACTGAATGTCCGATTCCCCAGCTGAGCTGGTGATTCATCATTAAACAGACAACACTTAGCCACGGACACCTTATAGGGTCCAGTTACTTACATGTAGGCCTAGCTCAAGTCAGTTTTGGGAAATACATGTTGATTTGGATGTTAAGGTTAAATTGCTTAAATTACATATCATGTTTCAGAAGGCACAACAACTGGCCCAAGTGGACCCCCCTCTAAATAATAGATCATATCTATCGAAGGTGAAGCAACATCTGTCAAGTGGGCCACCTTATTAATTATTGACACCTGTCTCGGGTATTTACACCACGGAACATGCAAGTTAGTATACTCTGATTGTTCCTAAAGCATGTTATATTGTGACAAGCTTGTTTAGAGAGCATGCACAGATTTGGAAGTTTCTGGAAACTCCCCTTTTAATTGTGGTTATGAGCTGTTGTCATGGCTCTTTGTCTTCATGTCTGTCAGCATTAGACTTGAGGAAATGCTCCCACTTCAAAGAATGTAAATAATAAATAATCAAATCTGGTCTTACTTCTAGCCTTGAAAGTTCTGATCTATATTATGAAATTGTAGGCCATTTTCACTATCAAACAGCCCACTCTAAATATGGAGTGTCATACAATTTTATTATTATATCAGAACTTGGATCCCATTAAAGTAAAAGATTTGATTTTATGGAGATTGAAAGTACTCTCAGACTAGGAAACCCTTGCATGTTTCAGAGAGGTCAACATGGTGGCCCCTCCCGTCCTACGCCAACCCCCATCTTTAACCACAGGAAAAGACAGAGACAGGCTATGTTTGCTGATCCCAGCAGTAACCATAGCAACACCCCATCCATGCCTACAGCAGCCCAGGCAAGCTATCCAGGTAGCACAGTGACAAACATTTCAGTGGTATTTGCAACTCAGAATTTCAGTCATTTTGGAAATAGAGATACTTTCATCAGTTTCAGCCAAGCATTTATTATTATTATTATTTGAGGCTTGTAGGCTTGTGGTTAAAATGTTCCCTTGTCACGCCAAAGACCTGGGATTGAATCCCGATATGGGTACAATGTGTGAAGCCCATTTCTGCTGTCCCCCACCATGATATTGCTGGAATATTGCTAATGCAGCGTAAAACCATACTCACTCACTCTCTCACTCAATTTGTCAGGGCTTTATTGATAGCAAGACAATAGGCGGGAAGTTGTTGATCTATCTGTTACCTGCCTCTTTTCTTGATTAGTTTGTTTATGAATTATTAAAACAATAAGAACAATTTGTCAGTGGTCAAAATGAAATTAAAATGAGCCTCTTCAAAAAAAATCTGTTTTTGTAAGAATATGATTGGTGTGATGAGGACAAATTATTTCAAATGTTTTATTTCATTTTTGGCATTTTTGTGAAATGGGGCTCAGACAGCATATATATATAGCACTAGTTCACTGGGGAACAAAGTCACACATGCATGGCTTGGAGTACCTTTAAGCTTGGAATAGCATTGTGGCAAACTATTATGGATCAGAGAACATATCTGCCCATCTTAGTCAGACCAGGAAACAATGTGTTATATTTTTCTTTCGGGGGTGGCGTCTGTCTGGACTTGAAGGTGTGACCAGTGATGACATAAGTGAGTAGAACTCTTGTCTTGACTCCAGCTGTGACAATTCACAGGATGTAATTAGTGTTTAAATGACATTGTTTATGAACTTGTTACAAGTGCTGCTCACGAAACAGTGATGTGGAATACATAGCTGTTTGTTTTCAACATATGTTTAAGTTGGTATTTCTGCTATCCAAAATGTCTTATTGTTGGTATAAATGCGATGTTTAATAATGCATTTTTCGCATTTAATTCACGCTTGCGTTAATTTCAAGATTCACAGTATGTCTTACTTTAAAAAGAACCTGGATAAAATCATGAGTCTAAAATGCTTTGGAATAATTGAAAGGACCAGTTGTCCAAAGATTTGTGATCCAAATTTGCCTCAGATGTGCCCAAATCCAATGATCATGTGTCCAGATCATATATTTGTCTTGATTATCAGATGGTTCTTGGTTTGTAGGCACTACCCATGCTTGTGGGTTTCACCAAAGTGCTAAACATATTAGGCCTTCATAATGTAAGGTGTTCCGTACCAAATAAGGTGACTCTATGACATAGCTGAAATACTTAGTCAGTCATGGTTCAGTGACATTACTTCAACTATAATCTGAATTATCTAATTATGGGTTTTGAGTCATGGCTGGCCCAGTTGTACGCAACATTGACATTTACTGTGCACAGTTGTTCCCCTTAGTAGTGATATAATCTGATGATTTTTAGTTTGAATCCCAGATTTGCCCAGAAAATGATCTCTGCTCTCATGGGCTTCCGTGGAGTAGTAAATATACTGGATTACTTTGGGCTATCCCTTTCATTTAGCTAACATGTCGTGCCATGACTGAAATACTGTTCAAGCTACACTAACCCTATCTCACTCACCATTCATGTTTGTCTCCCAGAGTTAATGCCTGTAGGGGGGTTCCAAGCTCAAGGAAGAAGACTGCAGACCCCGTCAACAAGTGCCTATGGTGATTCTTACTCGCCTGCTCAAAAGCAGAGAAACTGTGTTTCATCAGGTGCTGGAGGTAGGAACATTGCAGGAATAGCAAGATAGGGGACAAAGTTGTAACTAATTTGGAGGATTGCCTAGCCCACACATGATTTTTTACAGGCTCTCAGGATATACCTGGGATATTGCTGACTGACATTGCGACAATATTCACTGACTTCCAATGCCTTGAAAAAGTAGGTTGTGCTCTGGTGGTTCAAAATCTCTGCATTTCATCATTTCCTGTGTTGCTTGTGGTGCCATTGCAATATTGCCAAAAGTAAGATGTTATCAGAGTTAGAAATTGGCATCCGTCCTGTAGTCCTATCATAAGGACTAGTAGAAATTTGTCATTTTTAAGGGTTTTGCTATATGTTAATAATTATCATATATAGGACTAGTGTACTTAAAATATTAGTTTCTACCGCTGGTTATATGTTTGCTTTATTTGTGGATGGCAATAGCCATTGGTTCATTATAGATATGTTTAGCAATAAAACAAAACTTTATATCTCCTTCATTACAGCTAAATGCAAAAACAAGAGTAAACTGTAATTTTGCTTCTAGGTACATTTTACTTTGAAGGGTAAAACATTTAGTAATTTTGTTTTTCCTCAAGGTGCAGGTGGTGGTAGAGGAAGTATTGCACCATCATCAGTCCCCACTCCAAGCTACCACAACAACAGCAACAACAACTACAGCAACAGCAACTACAGCAACAATAACAACATCACAAACAACACTGTGAAAGTAGGTTGGGGACACCAAGGCAGTCAGCAAGCAGTTCCACCCAAAGATCAGACAAACAGGTAAATGAGAATAATATCATTACTGCCTCTTAGAAACCTATTATGTGGGTATCGCCATTATGAAAAGATGTGTTTTCTGCCAATGGTAAAACCTGGGAAGAGGTTTTACATTTTTACCAAAACCCTGGGATGAGGTTTTTGTAAATTTAGTAAAACCTCATCCCAGGGTCTTTGTAAAAAGGTAAGACCTCCATACCAGGTCTCGCCACTGAAAGAAATACATTCCCGATACACAATGATTTTTCATCACAGGGTCTTACTTAAAGGCACATACCCGGACTTCTGCACAAAGACAACAGAAAACAACAGCCAGTAACATCCTTTAATGAAAGTTAGATGTAAAGTAGAGAGACCCTTTTTGGGATAGAACTTCCAGACTTGCCTCAGTCGTTGAGTCTACAGAGGTACCTGCAGAAGTACCTGTAGAAGTAGCCGTCTCAGTTGCGGAAGTAGTTGTCTCAGTCACTGAAGTTGGTGGTGCACAAGACACTGTCTCCGTCTTTTTAGGAATCTTCCTTCCGATAATGTCTGAAGCCTTGGACTTTAGATCGTCGCTGGTGCGTTTGTAGATGCGGACAGCACTACTCCGGTGCCCTAAAAAATATTTGTTATAGTTAATAACAACAAAGTATACAACCGTATGTTCTAAACATCTATAAAGCATTAAGCCACTTTAGAAAATATGGCTACATCAAAATACATTTTTATAGTAAAAATTAACCATTTCTATACGCTTGTTAAGAGCGTTTCATTTTATTCACAGATAATATTCGAAACAGTGATAATCATAAAATATTGGTAAAGGACTGTCCTATACATTGAACTAAACATACCAGTTTGTTCGCAAATCTTTTGTTCGCAAATCTGCTGCCCGCCACCTTTTAAATACGCCAATGGCCTAGTTTATTGTATTCGGTCTTTTTGGGAACACATACGTCCAGTTTCTTCTGAAGTTCTTCAGACAATGGAGATGCAAAACGAAAGTGAAAATCATCTGCGTCGTCACTAACATCCTTAGTTTCCACAAACTCACTTTGAGTTAGAAATAGGTCTCCGCCTTCCTCCTCGCTCGACATCTCGAACTCAACTGAGAAAGACAACCAAGTGTTCTTACCGCATGCATCGCACGTGCACGGTTCGAGTTCTTTCTATACGCTTATCCTGGCAATAGCGAGGTAGTAAATCCCTGTTATAGTGCCCTAAATGGGAGACAATTAAATTTGCAGTAATTCTAAACGTTTAACGGTTTCTAAGCCGGATAAAACACTCCTCGGTTTTGGTAGAGAATGTTAAACCTCGGGAGTCGGGAAATCTCCTCCTCCTGAGGTTTTACATTCTCTACCAAAACCTCTGAGTCGTGTTTTCTCCATTACTTAGACAGTGTTGTTTACTATGTACAATGAGTGAATTGGAAGATGTTCTTACAAGCAGAAGCATATTTAACAGGATTAGAAAATAGTTTTTCACTTGTCCACATCATTATTTGCTACAGAGTTGCCATCTACCTAATGGTAAGAGAGGTCGTCCATGGGAAAATGTAGCTAGTCTTTTCCTGTATTTGAATAGTCTCAGACTTGCAGACTTGTGTCATATTATCATGTTGATACCAGCATCATGTAAGGTCCAGGTACAAATCTTGATGGGCAGTTACATTCCTTAAGTCAGCTGATTGGCCATCTTTGTGTAATAGTCATAATGTTTAATGTCTAATAAAGTCAATTAGAAAATACAGGCAATAATAAAATAAAACTACAAATTGTCCTGGTATGTGATACCAAAAATGTTTTGTTTCTTTATTACATTTTGTTTGTACACAAGGCATATGTTTGGGCACCAACATATATTGTGTGTGTTCCAGGAGAAAGTTGGGTATCTTAAAACTGTGTTAGGTGTATTATATTGCAGTGTTAATAACAGTCACCAAATATAGCAAAGGAATATTAGCCCACCTCTCAAATTGCAACTATATGTCCCATATATGTCTTGGTCCCAACATTGGAAACTTACCTACATTCAAATATATTGTTTAATGCCTACAATGTCATATTTATATCATTTTGAAAGGACTGGTAGAGGTGGAAGTAGTTCCTTCTCCAGGAACACTCAGCAAAACTCAACCAACAGCCAACTCCAGTTCCAGGCTAACCAGCAGCCATCCAGAGGCAATTATAGCCAGCAGCCCTCCACCAGAGGCAATTATAACCAGCAACAGAACAGGAACCCAAACCCAGTAAGGGGGCAAAATCCCCAGCCCGGAGGGGGTGGTGTGTGGAATGGAGGAGCAAGCAACTGTAACTATGACCAAAGCCCTCACCAGTACAACCATCAAGCAGCTTTGGCCAGCATGGGTTATTCCAAGGGTTGGGGAGGCGTGCCACCCACGCCCACTGCACTCCAGGCTGCATCCCCTCCTCATCCTGGGAGTCTGTTGACGGATTCAAGAGGTGGTGTCCACACAGGGTTTGGTCAGGAGTTGGCCTGTACAAGTTCAAGATCAAAGGATGTTTCAAAGGTAGTCACCCTGATAAGTAATGTTTATATTTTATCAGGCAAACTTGCATGAAGGGAATATCTTCGTTAACCTCTGATTTATTGAAAGTTAGCTCCTGGGAATAGTTGTAATTTTTAACAATATATTATCATCATTCTTGAAATGAAAAGGGGCTAATTGCATGTTGAGGTTCATGGTAAGGCCACTATTTTTTACTTGCTTTACAAATCTGCTAATCGACTGTTAATCTTGTTGAAATGTTGAAAACAAATATGTCTATCCTACCGATAAGCTGATAGCATATAGTACCAAAAAAATATTTTCTAAACAATAAAGTCCATGTAATACACATAAATTTACCGAAACTTATTCTAAGAGCCAAGTCCGTACTAGTAGAATTAAAGGTTTTGGGCACTGAATAAACTTATTTATTGTAAAGTACTACTTTCTCCAGGATGTACTCAAGTCTACTGCTATCCAACACTCACTGTTCATGAGCATGACAAGTGTAGCTTGTTCACATGTATAATGAACTATTGTTGCTGCCTTGTTGCAATGTAGCCACGGCTTATTGCAATATGTTGGAGGCAGTGAAATTCCTTCTGTTAGTGTGCCAGTGACATGGTTACTACGAGGGGTGTTCATTAAAGATTTCCCCTGACCCACTTCCGATGGACCTAGTGGAATGAAACTTGGCATAGGTATTAGTCTTTCTCCACATAGGAACCACCAAGTGTTACACACTTCTCCCATCGTTTTATGCAACTATGGAGACCTCGCTTGTAAAAGCCCTTAATTTGCGTCTCAAACCAGGACTTGGCTTCAGAAATCAGTGTTTCATCATCTGTGAAACGTTTTCCCTTCAAAAATGACTTCATGGTTGGAAAGAGGTGGAAGTCAGATGGTGCAAGGTCAGGAGGGTAAGGAGGATGCGGAAGGATTTCATAGCCACAGGACCGCGCTTCTGTTTGGGCAACATGAGAGTTGTGTACTGGAGCATTGTCTTGCAGGAGACGGACACCCTTGGTCAGCATGCCACGCCAGCTTGATAGCGTCCCACCATTTCCGCAGCAGTGAAGCATAATAAGCTCCTGTAATTGTGGTACCCTTTGCCAAGAAATCCATCATCACTACTCCCTGCTGGTCCCAAAACACTGTGAGCATGACCTTGCCTGCAGAGGGTTGGACACGTGCCTTCTTTGGGGATGGTGACTCCACATGCTTCCATTGCATCGACTGAACTTTAGTCTCAGGATCATAGTGATGGACCCATGTTTCATCCTGTGTGATAAGTCTGTCAAAAAAGTTTGCCTGGTTTTTTTGGCACATGTCCAAAAGATCCTTTGAGCAATTGACTCGTTCCTGCTTTATGAAAGGTGTGAGCAACCTGGGAATCCATCCTGCAGACACCATATGCATGTTCAAATTGTCATGGATGATTTTTTCCACAGACTCTACACTGATCTTGACATCTTGTGCTAACCGGCGAACAGTTATAAGTCGGTCTGCCAAAATGGCAGTCTCCGCTTGATGGATAGTGTCCTCATCAATGGCTGAATGGGGGCGACCAGGAATGGCAGCTGTTTCCACAGATGTCCGACCACACTTGAACTGGCGATGCCAGTGTTTAACAACGTCATATGATGGGGCATCTTCCCCATAAGTTGCTTTCATTTCATCGAAAGTTTCTTTTGGTGTGCGACCTTTCAAATATACAAACCTAATCACTGCTCGGTATTCTACTGGCTCCATTGTCACACCCTACTCGATCATAACACCTGTAAAAGTGGTAAGATTAATAGTTCGGTGCTGCAAATTCAGACATAACCCATAGATACATGTATCATTACACATGTGAAATTTCAACCAAATATGATAACCCTAAGTGGTTTAGGGGAAATCTTTAATGAACACCCCACGTACCATAATGGCACTGTTAAAATAATTTTGTAGGACATCATTTATAGCCAGTGATAATTATTTCTCAAGTAATCTTGCTAAACATGCAAACTGAACTTATGGAACCAGCTTGATGCGCAGTGTAAAATGTGGATTCATAGATTGAATAGGGTGTTATTAAATTCAAGGAAAAACTGTGTATTAGTTTAGAGATGTCACAAGTCACCAATACATGATGCATTAATAATATTCACAAACAATGCAATATACTATACATATCTGTATCGATTCATAATTTAATCCTGTATTGATTCATATTTTAGTCACATGTCATTTCACACAGGAACCCATTCATTCATATTTCGTTTATCTAAGTTCAGGCACACGTTTGAGGTATTTCAAGAACAGGGCAGTTGCTAGCTATAGTTTATATAATAATAGAAAATACTTATGATGTCACTACAGTTTAATATTGAAAGTATTGATTGAAATGAGACATTTTTGTATCAAATATGATAGCAGATATTGAGGAAGTTTCAAGCCTTGTTAATAGTGCTTATGCCTAATTTTATACCTAATGGTGCAATGGCATTCACTGAGGTGTAAAATGTCTTGTTGACACTCTCCTACTACAAAGTGCACTCCTGGACATTGTTGTTAGTGCCCCATGGCACACTGGGAAACATTGTTCTACCTGTATTGCCATGTATGTTGTATCTGGAAGTACTCATCCCTGTTGTGTGATTGTGCAAATCAATTTCAGTTCCATCAGGCCTCAAGCAGCAAGCCTTCAAGACTGGCTGACACAAAGGGTAAAAACCAGGCAGGTTTGAGGGTGCTGTCTTCAAGTGTGGCCATGGTAAAGAGGTCTGCCCTGCACACTGATCAGTTGGGCCCTCACATGCTGGAAGTGTTTGGTGAGACATCCTAAAATGGATATTTTTCCAGGACAAGTCGCATGGGGATTCCAGTTTAGAATAGCTCCCCTGTAACCTATGGAGGTTTTATTAGGCAACTTAAAACTTGGGAGGTCAGGCTGAGTGACTTGGACCAGACAATCCAGTGATCAATATTTTGAACAATGATCCACGCCTTCAGGGTACGATGGATCACTATCAACCATGGTCACCATGTCTGACAAATTCTCGCCTCTTAAGGGGCTGTTGGGTAGCCTAGCGGTTATAGCGTTCGCTTGTCACGCCAAAGACACAGGTTCGATTCCCAACATTGGTACAATGTGTGAAGCCCATTTCTGGTGTCCCCGCCATGATATTGGTGGAATATTGCTAAAAGCAGCGTAAAATTACTCACTCACTCACTCACTCACTCACTCACTCACTCACTCACTCTCAAGTAACTCACTCACTCACTCACTCAAGAATTTAAGTTGTTACTTGTAGGACCATGTAGGGTGTTATGGTCAAATACAGACTAGCATTTACATTCGGTAAACAGGTATAGATTACGACACTGAGCTAAAACTCTACTTGATTTTCCGAAACTACATTCAGTTTAGTCTCCATTTTGATAATATACAAAAAGTTTTAAAATGTATTAAAGTAGTTATACTAATCTCCAGTTTCACAACAATATATATATGTACCCATTAAACTCTCATTATAAAATATTGTGTTTTGAACTTTTCATTCCTTTTGTATTATTTACAAATGTGGGGCAGTTGGGTAGCCTAGTGGTTAAAGCGTTCGCTTGTCACGCCAAAGACCCAGATTCTATTCCCAACATGCATGGGTACAATGTGTGAAGCCCATTTCTGGTGTCCTCCGCCGTGATATTGTTGGAATATTGCTAAAAGCGGCGTAAAACCCTACCCATCCACTATTTACAAATGTATTGCTATCAAATCAAGATAGCTAATGCTTCATTGACAACCACACAATATATTCAGTTTCATACTTCACTAGACTTTGACATGATATATGGTGTTTCAAAGTGGACGTGTAACTATTGACAGAAGAGAAGGCTGAATATCCACGTTGTTCAATGGGTAATCTGGTATGTGTCACCTGAGCTGAGGTTTTAAATCAATAGGCATGTATACCAAATGATAGTGTTATAACACTGTGTATAGATATACCTTTCTCAGATATTACTCTAGGATACAAATTAAATGTCTACCATCAGTCACAACAGCACTGATATTTTTTTTCACAAGTGCTGTAAGAATGATGCATGCCTATGCATTATTAGGTAGTTTATGTGGGTCAATTTCAAATACACATAAGAACAGGGAAAGTATCACATGAACCAACCAGACTGATGTACATTGCAGCAGTGTTATACAATAGTACATTCATTCTTGCAGATTTAGAAACATGGAAATTTAGCTACTTGTTTCATATTTGTAAGTGTTTTGTCCCCAGTATATATACAGAAAACATTTGAATAACTCTTTTTTAGATGCTGACCTTATTGACATGTACACTGTTGACTAACTATCAAGGTGTATCTACAGTGCAGTGGCATTAATTTCACTGAGCTTTGAAAATTAAGAGTTTGTTTGTCTTTAATATTCAAGTTTTAAATTGTGAAGAAATCAGTATGTCTATTCTTACTAAGCAACAAAATTCACATAAATTTCTGCTAAAAGCAGAGTTGATTGTAAAATTCCAACTATGTCATGAGCATATCTTTAGGAATTATTATGAAATTGTGATGACACACATCTTTGTATTATAATTTACTTATTTTCATCTAATTTTATCTAAACAAATAATAATTTGCAAACAAAAGATTATCATTAAACATGCGTAGAATTATGTTTATTGTTCTTGTTTGAGTGAGTGAGTTGGGTTTAACGCCGCTTTTAACAGTATTCCAGTTATATCGCGGCGGCGTTCTTGTTTGAAGTGGTTTTCCTGTTCATACACTAGCCAATATGGAATTTGACGAGAGGGGCACATTTCGTCTACATTTGACTTGTCCCTGAATGGCACGAGTTGGTCATGCATTGTATGATTTGGACTACATGAATGTTGTATCTTTGTTGCAGGAATTTTTTCTGCAAAATGTATACTGTATTTTTGGTGCTACATGTATGTTTTGAGACATATTGTTATTTATGATCAAATTTAAATTTTTACATACATGGCCATTTTGTCTGTATTGCATTACATATATGTTTTGCGTTGCGTGTATCATTGCATGTCATGTGTTACAGGCATCTTTTCTGCAATCTCATTAAAATCAGATCTAGGTTCACGCTGCCGCTAAACAAAGATTACATTACATCCCATTACAGGTCACATCAGAGCAAATTTTGACGACCACGGAAACGATTAACAAGAAGTCAACATCAGCCAATTAGAAAGCGGCTTTCTCCAGCTTTACAGCACTTACAAATTTTGAAAACTGAACAAACGAACATTTCGGAATGTCTAATATATGGCTGCAATTGTATGGCAGTGCTTCCCATGTTCTGTTTAACGCCTCCTCCGTTCAAATGTTTATCCCACGGAAGCGAGAGATAGACGATAATTTTGATGGAATCAGTCGTACAGACCGTAACTGTCATTCGAAATAACCCGTCTTAACGTTTTCGAGGTTGCATGATTAGAAATTACATTCACTTTCATGATCTGGTAAGCGATACTTTGAATGGTTGGATGAAAGGTCGTTCTGAAGTGACCCTTAATGGGATGTCCTCAGATCTTTGTTTAGCGATAGCGAGAACTAAGATCTGATTTTAATGAGATTGCTCTCTTCTGTGACATAGTTGTTGTCTGTTTCGCATGACAGGCATGTGTCCTTCGGTGTTGCAGGTGTGCTGGACTCAGCTGTCGTGACTGACAAGTCTGGAACAGGGAAGGAGTTTGTTCTGAGAGATGAGACTGATACAGTCCACTGCATTTTCTATGAAATTGTAAGTTTTCTTTGTCGTTTAAGCGGCACTGACCAGGGAATCTAGATGTTGCTGGCATGAGCATTGGCCCATGTCATCAGTGTGCTAGGTAAACACTCAATCCTCATTTGTGTGTTCCTAGCATAAGCATGAGGTAGTGGAACTATTCTGCCTTGGAATTCCTATAGGGTTGGTTGGATCCATCGGTGTTTGGCTGAAATCTGGTCATTGTCACAGATTGTTGAAGCTGATTGAGACAAAAAACTTTTGTGTCTTCTTGCCTTAACTTATGCAATTTCAGTAGATTTTAGTGGTAGTACAAGTCAAACCACGCTTATCCAGACACTTGCATCTTCTCAAATATTGTCTGGACAAACAAATTTCCGAAAAGCTGAATTGTCATCTGATAAGAGTTACCTCCCTTACCCAAATTTTACAGAAGCAGAAAAGACATGTTATATAATGCATATGATTTTCCTCAAGCAAATTCATATGTGCGTAGAGGTAATAACAAACTTGGTCAATAAATTTGTGATTTTTATGATAAAACATCACGCACTATGATGATTTACCATTAAATTGCATGTCCCCTACTGCTAAGCATTGTTATATATGCAATGATTGAGAAAAGACGTGTGCAGTTTCTCATAAACTAAGCTGGAAATAGCAATCAGCTGTATACACATTTTCTGCAACCAAATTTTGATAATTCTGCACACAATTCTGCAAACTTTACATTTACTGTTCATGCATTTTGTAGTGTTTGACTTTGTTTGACTTGTGGCAGGCATTTTTATGATGGATGTATCCATGGTTAGAATAGCTTACTGGAGTGAATTTGGAGATCGCTAGTGTAAACATAAGAGATCTACACTTTCAGTACGCAGTGATGCATAAGTCAGCTTCTTTTCAAAACAAAATCAGGATTTCGATTTCATTTAACCGTTCCTCAAAATGTAGAATATTAAAAAGATTGTTTGTCAATTTGTTTTTCTCTTTTTCCATATAACGTAAATGCCTCAAATAATTATTTTGAATGATTTAATTTATTCAATGCTTGATTCAAATAATGACTATTTGTTTCAATAAACCTATGCAAGTTTTACATGTTTCAAACCAGCATTTCACAGTTCTGCAAAATATTCTGCGACCGTGGAATCACAGAATACAGAAGGGACTGATTTACATGATAAAACCTACATTGTACCTGGCCTTAAACTCACTCACTCACTTGCTTTATTTACAGGATAGAAGCCTTCCTCGACTGATAAGGGGACAATGGCAGAGGTATGTTACATATGGGCTTGGACTATGTGATCACCATTAAACTCCTAGTAGCTACAGTTGTTAGAAAACAATAAGCAGGCACATGGAAAGGATGTTCCAATGTTCTTTTGTACATATTGTGCAGTTATGTTTGTGCAGTTGATTGCTTAATGGCAATTTTATGTCATGTTTAACCCAATCACTTGATCACAAACCAATTAGGATTAACAGAAATGAATGGACCAGTAATAGAAATATAGGTGTAGGTGACAATTATTGTCCAGAAACTGACAGTCAGTAATAGAACTATAGGACCAGATGTCCCATATTGCCCTGAAACAGATGGGCCAGTATTAGATATATTTGACCAGGTGTCACGTATTGCCCTGAAACTGATGGGCTAGGATTAGAAATATTGGACCAGGTGTCACGTATTGCCTTGAAACAGATGGGCCAAGAATAGATATAGGACCAGGTGTCATGCATTGCCCTGAAACAGATGGGTCAGGAATAGATAGATATATAGGACCAGGTGTCACATATTGCCCTGAAACTGATTGTGACCGATAGCATATGGGACCAGGTGTCATGTATTGCCCCGAACAGATTGGCCAGGAATAGATAGATATATAGGACCAGGTGTCACATATTCCCCTGAAATAGATGTGCCAGTAATAGAAATATAGGACCAGGTGTCACATATTGCCCTGAAACTGATTGTGAGTGATAGAATATAGGACCAGGTGTCACGTATTGCCCTGAAACAGATGGGCCAGTAATAGAAATAGTTGACCAAGCGTCACATATTGCCCTGAAAAAGATTGGCCAGTAATAGAAATATAGGACCAGGTGTCACATATTCCCCTGAAACAGATGGGCGAGTAATAGAAATATAGGACCAGGTGTCATGTATTACCCTGAAACTGATTGTGTGTAATAGAATATAGGACCAGGTGTCATGTATTGCCCTGAAACAGATGGGCCAGTAATAGAAATATTGGACCAGGTGTCATGCATTGTTCTGAAACAGATGGGCCAGGAATAGATAGATATGTAGGACCAGGTGTCACATATTTCCCTGAAACAGAAGGGCCAGTAATAGAAATATAGGACCAGGTGTCCTGCATTGCCCTGAAACTGATGGGCCAGGATTAGAAATATAGGACCAAGTGTCACATATTGCCCTGAAACCTACAGCCAGTAATAGAAATAGACCCCTGTTTTTCTACAGCATTTGTGTTTGCTATTATTGTCATATCATTTGCTGAGTCCATATTCTCTAAGTGAAAATGTATCTTTTAGACTCTTATCATGTTTATCATTGGTCAAAGTTGTTCTCAAGGTCACATTCTAATTTTGTTTATAAAGTTTGTTCACCCAAGATGTGAAGTAGCAAGGACTGTAAAACATATACTAGTATATCATCACCAGGCTAACATTATGACTGAGGTCCAGGTCAGTAATGATCACATTCTGTGTTGCCATGTTAGTTAAGGAGCTATCACTGCTTTTCTATCAACTCTAGATGTGTAGGCTCAGTGGAACACAAGAGTGGCAGACTCAAGTGTGTGTCTGTTAGGGCAGCTGGAGCTGAAGAAAAACATCTGGCCAAACTCGGTGAGCATCACATGGAACAACAGATGACCACAGGCAACAGGCGGCCCACCGAGGAGTGAACGTGTCACATGAACAGGTGTGAACATGATGTCATACATTCAAGTTTGAACAAAGTCTCTACTACAAGGCAGCTGATGCAAAACTGTGTTATTGTATTTGTAAACATTCAAATGCCTGTTAGAAAAGCAAACTCTTTCAATGAGGAATCTGAGTAGTCGTTGTCAGCACGGGTACTACAGATATGTACCCATGGTGCGTTTCTGTATACAGAAAGGTACCCTTGCCCAAATCAGAATACAGAAGGGTAGCCTAGGCTGAGTCCATTCCACTGCATTGCCCAAGCGCTTGACCGATTCCTTGAACGCTTATGTATGCGACACATCTTGAATGCCAAACTGAGGTAAAACTCAAAATGGCAGTAGGCATTCCAGCATGTTCTACAAAAACAGGCATACACAGTGATGGACATACTTTCTCTAATATTCCGCGCAGCATTATCCAGCTTTTATCAGATGAACTGGACCTACAGCATGTTTTGGTTTCGGGTTAAGTAATATTGATTTGCCAGCTGTTAGGTGTCGTGGGTATCTATGTGTATTATGATTTTGGCTAGGGTACATATCTGTGTGCAGGGATGTTCATGGCCTAAATAGCTGAAGTACCAATGCCGACAACGACCTCTTCAGCTTTTATCCATGACAGGATCACTTCATTGAACTACTAATTCTCAAAGAACTAAGTTTGCTTATTGTATAAAGGTTGTCTTTATTGAACTGCCTGAACAATACTTTGAGAAGTTTTTGTGTTTTGCCAAATTTATATAAGGATGTAAATGTCATGAGGTCAAAGTCCATGACAAGCCATGACAGTCAAAGTAGAACCATCAATGGTCACATGACATGAACAAACTACATGTACAACAGTTCCCAGTGGTCTAAGGTGATACAGTTCACTGTACAGAATTGCATCCCTTCGTCACTCCAGGATCTGCTGTGTTAGAGGGTTCCATTTGCAGATTCTCCATGATTGTGATCATTGGTCAGTCAGCATCATACACATTGGGGTTTCACAAAGGGAAAAACACCAGTACCTGAATCACTTCCGACTTCTCCCACACAAATATTGATCAAAGAAGAGTAAGCCCAACTACTCACTCACTCACTCTGTGTATAAGCAGCTCCTGGTGTTCAACTTCAGATTTTCGTTAATTACATTTTTCATTTCTGTGTTATTTGAAATAATATGTTGTATTTATTTGTAAACTGTGATGATCTTCTCTGCCAAAAACAAATATTGTCATGTCATGTGTGACTCATCACCTATTGTTATTTATTGTTATTTATTATTCACCAGATAATAAATTTGTTGTACCAAATGGTTTGGAAATGTTTTACTTTATTTATGTGACCATATATTTAGGGATGTTAAATGTACATATATTCAAAGGTTTATGGCTTATGTAAAGTCCAGATTTGCAAAAGACCAAATAATGACTAATATGACAAACTTTTGTTCTTACTTTAGAAATGTTGAAGATTCTAATCAGAGATTGGCTGGGCCTTCACATTTTTGATATGCTGCATTGCAACACAATGGGCCTCAAATGACAGCAAATTCTGCAAAATTTGCAGATATTAAAACTTTGAATTTTTTAATAATATTTGTCTCTCAAACCAAAAGGGCTGAAACATTTCTGACAATATGTAGAGGACCATAATATGGCTTGTATATATGCAGGGCATGAAAACGAAAAATTACTTGTTTTGTTTTTAAAATTAAATATTTCATTCAAATTATATACCATGCAAAAGCAGCTACTTAGACACCTCACCTTTTGTGTGATTCACTGCGATTCTTTCCAAATTCATTTTAAGCCTCCTCTACAAGCCACGTATGATGATCTTATCCTTACAAAATATAAACACATGCAAAGACCATATCCAGCCATTTGTGCAAATGTGAACATAGAAAGTAAGGTAACAGGGTAAGCGGTGCAAGGGACGTAACTCTTGATACCTTGTATGCTTTCCCACAGTACAGGACCAAGCAACTAATGACAATAAAACTCTCGGAGTGTGAAAATATGCGAAGAAGTCCGCGAAAGTCCTGCTATATCATGGCGGCATGTGAATAATCTGTGCCAGGTAAACCAGTGGTAGATAACGAGCAATTATCCACGCAGCCCAGATTGGATGGTGCGCTATCAGGAGGTTCATTCACCGTGTAACCGTCAGATCCTCATCACTGACTTCTATGTCAGGAATGAGGTACTGTTTGTTTATTTGTTGTTTAACGCCGCACTCATCAATATTCCAGCGGCGGTCTGTAAATAATCGAGTCTGGATCAGACAATCCAGTGATTGACACCATGAGCATAGATCCAGGCAATTGGGATCGATGGCATGCATCAACCAAGTCAGCGAGCCTGACCACCCGATCCCGTTAGTTGCCTCTTACGACAAGCATCGTCGCCTTTTATGGCAAGCATGGGTTGCTGAAGATCTTTTCCACCCGCATCTTCACGGGTCGAATGAGGTTATGAGAATGGAGACCTATACTTCCCCGGGATACCACCGCAATGAGGCTGCTTTCATCAGGCCGCACACCAGTGCCCTTAGGTTAATGTTGGTAAATCTAGATCGATTGTAACACTGTCTTGTGCAATGGACCACTGTCTGCAGTTACCTACGGAATGTTTATGGGTAGTCCTACAAAGCCTGAAGTGTGTAGAACGTAAAGAAAAATTAGTGCCGATATATTAAACAAGTCAGTTGGTATAATTACACTATGGATGCTTATTGTTTGTTTGTTGTTTAACGCTGCGCTCAACAACATTCGAACTATGTGACGGCGGTCTGTAAATAATCGAGTCTGGACCAGACAATCCAGTGATCGATATCACGAGCTTCCAATCCACGTAATTTAGGATTCGATGACATGCATCTACTAAGTCACCCAATCCCGTTATTCGCCTCTTACGACAAGCATAGTCGACTTTTACGGCAAGCATGGGTTGCTGGAGACCTACTCTACCCCGGATATTCAGGATTTGATTATTTATTGCAGTCCAATACGTGTTTGAGTGAGCTTTTGCGCCTTTATACCACCAACCAGGACAGGCGGAACCAAGCAAAGGCTACATTCATGTTGAGATCGAACCCGGCCCTAGCTCCGTCTGAGGACATGTGTTCCCCTTTGACATTATCTGAGCCGATAATCCTTAAAACAATCTTATGGTAGAGCACCGGCTTTGTCGCAAGGCCGGTATAACCTTGTATGATCGATAATGCATGAGGTCACCTTGGTTTAGAGTGCTGACTGGGGAGTTTACCCCATCGAAGGTCCAATGTCCAGTCCCATATATCAGTCCTTGAAATGGCTGTTTTCCAAAACCTGTTTTAGGTCAAAGCTTTACCCTGATAAGAAAATGCTTTTGTAGCGTAGACCGGTTTCTTTTGTTTCAAGCATTCACCCAATACTTCATTTTGAAGTTAGTCCCGTTCACTCTTGAGTTCCCACATTTCACCTCTGACCAGCAGCCATGTAAGACGCTGAAGACAACAGAATGGTCAACCCACACTTGTGTCTTGTTCTGCTTGTGTTGGTGTCCTGTGCTGCAGGTTCGCCGTTTGAAGATGGGCACAGGCATTACTTCACCTACTTCTCCAAGTCTCAAGTTCTCGGTCTGCACAACTTGTCAACGATCATAAAGGTAGATTATCAAAGGCATTTTACCAAAGATGAAAAAATCAGAGAACGAGTCCGATACAGTGAAACCCCGTTAAACCGGTCGTTACCGTTCCAAGCGTAATCGAGAAATGGTCTTCAGCAACCTATGCTTGTCGTAAGAGGCGACTAACGGGATCGGGTGATCAGGCTTGCTGACTTGGTTGATGCATGTCATCGTATCCCAGTTGCGTGGATCGATGCTCGTGATGTCAATCACTGGATTGTCTAATCCAGACTCGATTATTTACAGACCGCCGTCATATGGCTGGAATATTACTGAGTGCGGCGTTAAACAACAAACATCATTACAAGGGCAATCTGTGATCTACAGGACTTGGTGGGGGCATAAGTCTAATACGCCGCAATTCACAAAGCAAAATTGATATTTTTAGACGTGCCAGAAACGTATGATTGATGGATCGAATACCAGCTCGCTTAGATGTCGTGTCAAGGTTTGACAGCTCTATAGCACTACACCGGTGCTTGAGTGTTTAAACCAAAGCGGCAAACATCTAAAACCTCCCTTTTCTCCCACATTTACCTGACACTGTTTGATCTTACTGAAATACTTCTCAAAGCGGCGAAAAATCAAACTCACCCTCTCACAAATACCATTTTCTATGTTTTAGTTTTGTGAATAGTTATAAGAATAATAACATATTTTCATTATTTATGTGTTTGTTTTAATTTTAAGTTCAGGTTCACGAGTCCGCGGACCCTACTTTCGCTTGTGTGGAATACAATATATTCTATTTATAAGATCCAACCGAAGCTATTTATTAGCGATCACGTGATGAAAACAAGTAATATTTGTATTCAGTTTTATTCCGTGCACCAACCCTTTGGTGTTTCAGAACAAAAGCCGTACCAAAGTCTTTTTGATTTTCTTCAACTTGATCTGGAATTCAGTAAATGCCAATGCTCTTTCAAAGAAATGTTTCCCTTTCTAGGGATATTTTATATATACACAGGGCCACGTATACGTTGTGTTATAGTGATCAATCAATATCGGGTGCTTTCACCATGTGGCCTGAATTGTGGCATCGGACCCGACTATGTAAATTGTTGTTCATGCTATCAACAAATGGTTTGCCTGATTCAGGCTCTGTTATGAATTTTGTTGCTTAAATCGAGGTGGAACGAGCGTAAATCCCCAACTCCGTTGTAAACGCTCCCGTTGTGACCTGGGTTAGAAAAGGCCCTCACCACTCTATCATCGTATCCCGACTACGTAGGGCGTTGCTCATAACGTTGACCACTGGTGTATCTGTCCCAGAGTCGATGCAGGCGTGACATTGCCGGAATATTTCTGACTGCGGCGTAAAACAACAAACTATCATCTATTCCTCAGGTAAAGCAGTGTTGTAGCCAGTAATCTCAGTCACTGTGAGTGAATGTCAGCCATATTCCTGCATAATCACGGCGAGGGACTCCAGAAATGGCCCACAGACATTGTATCCATGTGAGGAATCGAAATCGGGCCTTTATTGTGACGAGCGAACGCTACCCCACCGCCCCTCAGTAATGATTATTGTAATGCAGCTGTTATAATGTCTTATTGCTATGCCTGATATGTCCATTGAGTCATACAATTCTGAACTGAATATATCTCTGAATTTATTCTTCGTAGACGAAAAGGTAACCTAATATTCGTTTTGTTATGTCCATTACGTATTTGCTGTACAGACCACCGAATTGGTATCAGTGCGGCTTTAGAATTATGACATTATTTTGAGTCCTTCAAAACCTAGCCTGGGTACATTTAAATTATCCCCCCCCCCCCCCCCCCCCCGTCCACCATCGCGAATATGCATAAATGTCAACTCATTCTGACGCCCTTAGCTTGTGACGTCACAGATGACTACGGTGTTGCCCATTTTGTCAGATAACAGTGAGCGTGGTAAACATTTGTTACAATTCTGGAGAAAAGAAAATGCTGTGATGCCCTGAGCCCAGTTCCATGAAACAATCCTGATCCTGACCCTTGACCATCACTTAGCATCTGCTGAAGCGTTATGAAACTATTAAAAGCTTGCTTTATTAATGCGTGTAGAATACACACGCTGACATTGTACAACATCATATATTATTCAGTTCCACGTGACGCCCGTGAACCAATCAGAAGATGGCAGCATGAACCTCCTGATGATTGACAGCTTCGTACAACATTCCGATCAAGGATATGGTGAAATATGTTTTCAATTGTTAATAGTGCCTGTAAAACGTTTTTAGTTTTTTCGTCGGTCTTTGACCTCTCCTTCATTTTAACACAACGGAAGAATTATCCATTAGGTCTAATCCTAACCCTGTAACAGTATCGATTACGAAACTGGTAAACTGCGTCCAGACGATGATTGCTAATGTCATGATGATGTTATTTTCAGTGGACAATAACCCAAAGCACTGGGACCTGACACGGAAGTAAGTTCTCCATAAACACGTTTAACCATCGCTCAGAACCAATATATATCTATATATACTCCCATTCTATTTCGCATCTTAACTGGTGTCGTTTTTCTAAATTTTCGTTCTAAATTCTGCCTTAGTCGCAAACAATTCTAGACTTCGTTTGAGCAATAACCCTCAAACGTAGGGTTTGTTTCCGGGCCATAAAAACATTAAAAAAACTTTCAGCATTTT